CTAAAATTATTTATTTGTATTTTGTTTGTTTAAGAACAAAAATCTTTCAACGTAAATCCAGGCCTTCGGTGTACTATTTTGATATGAACGTAGTGGGTGAACAATGGGGATGTGTTGGCACAGTTCGAACGTAAGTGAAATGATTTGTATGCCTTTTAGCATGTGGGGAGAAAAACGGGCAACCGCCCCGGGCCCCTGACAATGAGGACAATATGATATTGAAACTGACTTTTCCAAAATATTAATAATTTAAGATAATTGTAAAAAATTAAGTTACATAAACACTTAAATTTCAAGTGAGTTACTTTTGCACATCTCTGGTTATGAGCACAATTTTGAGCTAATACGTAAGTATGCGTAGAGTATTAACTACAGTAAATAAAGATATCAGCTAACTTTTGGATAATACAATTCGAAATAAGATCTACTAATTTTACACACTTATCCCTGAAGGAGGATCTATTTTTACACAGAATTATTTAAATTGATATCGTTAAGGCAAACAACGTCACGTCTGCTGCAGTACCAGCCTGATCCGAAATGGTGTAATTTATTTTAAATTATTGATAAATCTGTTTATTACTGTTTATTGATAAATAACATAAAATGTTAAGTTGTTTAAATAAAGATTACTTATATGTATGTATGTAAATACATCTATATCTATAAAACCCTGAAACTGTGATTAACTGTCTGTAATAAGAGTAGTAGTGTTCGTGCAACCGTTTGTCTTTTGCTTTATAAATAATAAGTCGACTGTTTGTGTAAAAGAAATGGAAATCACCCCTCCGCCATGTTTAAACAAACCCCTTAAATTTCCCAATAAATTACTCATGGGACCAGGGCCTTCTAATTGTTCTCCAAGAGTTCTTCATGCTCTTAGTTTACCAATTCTGGGACACATGCATACGGAAACCTTTCAGGTATCTTGTATATATTTAATTTTTAACTAATTCTTTATTAGGTATTAAAGAGGATTATTAAGTATGTTAATTCCACATAAAAAATTAAACTAAAGAAAAGCTTCACAATTTGTGGCACAACTGACTCTTAGTAATCCTCAAATAATTTCTTTCTTTTAAAAATATTGAGATGTCTCCAAATATGTCAAAATTGACATTAACAAATGAAAATTAATCTAAATTAATAATAAAGTACTATGTTTTCATTAAAAATAATAACACGAAGTAGACATAAACCGAGCAAAAAAATTTGGTATAATTGAATACATTTTTTCTCGGTTATCTTTAATTTAGAACAAAAGTTGACCAGGTGTTGAAAGATACGCTACTTTTGCAAACTATACTATTAAAACGTCTGTACACACCTTGCAACAATTTTGGAAAATAAGATATGTAAACCTAGTTGTATTATGCTGACCTTAGTTAACAATAATGTTAACGTACATAGAACATACATCATTTTTCTTAAAAAATGCATCACA